CAGCAACTGCACAGATGGGAAGACTACTTGTGGGACACTTTAGCTGCCGCAGCACCCCCGCTGCAGCAGCAGCAGCAGAAGCAGCAGCTCCGCTCGTTGCCTACCTTCTACCGCAGCCTCAAGGACATGGGCGTCTATGACGGCGACGCTGAATCTTGCTGCAGCTGCAGCAGCAGCAGCAGCATGGACACTGATGACAACGACAGCAGTGATTGCTGCTGCGCGCGGAGCAGCAGCAGCAGCAGCAGCAGCAAGAGGGGCTTGTTTACTGTGGAAGAGCTGCAGCTGCTGCTGGGGACTTTGTCGCCGCTTGCTGCTCACCGCAGCTCCGACGTTGCGCTGCTGCTGCAGTGGCTAGCTGTTGTGTTTGCTGCTGCTGCTCCCCCCAAGGCCTCAGACTTTCTGGAGCGCACACACGTCCCAGCAGCAGGCCCTGCTGCTGCTGCTGCTGCTCCCAGGGCTCCGTTGCAGCACCAAATAAAGACCGAGCAGACAGGTGACACTGCAGCAGCTCATCCTGCTGCTGCTGCTGCTTCTACGGAAGAGCAGCAGCTGCTGCCGGTCCCGCTGCTGCACGCGCTGCTGCAGGCGACGCAGTCCTCAGTGGCAAGTGTTCGCCGTGCTGCACTTTTGCTGCTGGATATGCAGCTGGTGCAGCAGCACAGGGTTTACCTGCAGCAGCAGCAGCTGCCGCCGAGGCCCATGGGCTGCGTCGACAGGCTGCAGTTGCTGCTGCTGATGCCTCACTGGGGGGTCATATCTACTCGCAACGTGCTGCACACAATTGTGTCTCTTATGCTGCTTAGCAGCAGCAGCAGCAGCAGCAGTAAGGACAACAACATAGAGCTGCTGCTGCAGCCTCCGCAGCCCCCGCGGCAGCTGCTGCGGGACGCTGCTGCTGCGCTCCTGCCGCCGCTGCTGCCGCAGCTGCAGCAGAGCCCTGCCCTTAACAGCACGAACGAAACCGGCGTGCTGCACCGCATAATGCAGCAGCAGCAGCAACAGCAGCAGCAGCAGCAGCAGCAGGGTGCAGACTCAACAGCTATCCCTCCGCCAGTAGCCAGTGGCATCGCCGCATATTCGGCTGGCATGTCTCCATTCCTAGCGCAGCAGCAGCAGCAGGAGCAGCAGCAGCAGCACCAACAGCAAGAGGAAGCAGGCCAGAGCATTGAAGTATACCTGCTGCTGCAGCAGGCGCAGCAAACCCCAGGCTTCAAAGAGTGGCAGCAATGCCTGGAGTCCACGCTGCAGCAGCACGCGCGTTTCTGCGCGCAGCAGCTGCTGCCGCCCGCCACCGCACAGCAGCAGCAGCAGCAGCAGCTGTGTCGCCTGACGGACGGGGAGAGCTTCTGCAGCGGACTTGAAGTTGCTGCTTTCTTCTCCATTCCCCTCACGGAGCTGCTGCTTGCTGCTGCTCTCAAAGCAGCATGGGCTGTTGCTGCTGATGAGCAGCGGCTCAACATTGCAGAAGCTGCTGCACTGTTTCTTTCCCGCCAGATGGACACTGAGAGGTCCCCAAGCCCTAAACCCTAAACCCTAAACCCTCACAGCCCCTAGACCCTAGCAAATCCCGGGTCCTGACGAAGCCTGCACCTCAACAGGATCCGAACCCTTGAAAACCCTGAACCCTCACTAGCTGTGAATCCTAGCAAGCCGTGTATCCTAACAAACCGTAAACCCTCGGAAACCCTAAACCCTAACAGACCCTTCACCCTGCCAAACCCTAAACCCTAACAAACCTGAAGCCCTGCCCGAACCCTACGACGCATTAAACTCGGTTAGACCCTAAAACCTGAGCCATACTAAGTAAAACCCTTGACAAAACCCTACATCCTATTGAACCTTGCTCCCCCATAAACCCTAAATTCTACTAAACCCTAAACCCTAGCTTCGCAACTTGAACCCGCAAGCCGTTGACGAGCAGCAGCTGATGCGGCTTCCTGGCTATAAATGGTGAATATGACCTAGAAAAGAAGTAGGGTTAAGGGTTTAGGGTTTAGGGGTTTAGTGTTGGTTGTGTGCGCAGCGCGGATGATGGCATGTCTAGCGGCGATTCGCCGTCGAAGCAGCAGCAGCAGCTGATGCAGCGCAGCAGCAGCGGCAGCAGCAGCAGCAGCAGCAGCAACTGCAAGAGCCGCGTGCTGCAGCCATTTCTCCATGCGCTGCTTCAGCTGGACCCTCTCCCGCTGCTGCCAATAGAAGTGCTGCAGCATTTGGCGCTGCACTGCAACTGCAGCAGAGAAGCTCTGCAGCTGCTGCAGCACAGCTACCTGCATGCGCTTTCTGCTGCAGATGATGCAGCAGCAGCAGCAGCTGCTGCTGCTGCTGCTCCCCCTGTCCCGCCAGCAGCGCCCAGCCCTGTAAAACGGCCTGCAACTTCTGCTGCTGAGTCGCTGCAGCAACAGCAGCAGCAGCAGCAGCAGATGGACTTCGGTCTTCGAAAGTTCCAATTCTTTGACGACGACATAGAGCCAGAAAGGGACCCGGCAGCAGCTTCTGCTGCTGTTGCTGCTGCTGCGGCCGATGGACAGCAGCAGGGAGACCCAGCAGCAGTTGCAGCTTACAAGAAGCAGCAGCAGCAGTATGCGTCTCTAGCTCGCAAGGCTGCTTCGGTGAGGTTGGCAGCTGTTTGCTTCCCCAGACGCTGGGTTTAGGGTGTAGGGTTTAGGGTTTAGGGTTTAGCGTTTACTGAATTTAATTCGTTCTTCTAAAGTTTTATGTCTGAGCGTGCCGCTGCTTCGGCGCTTCACCGGCTGGGGGCGAGTGGCCCGCGCGCAGGGCATAGGCTTTAGAGTTTAGGGTTTATGGTTTAGGGTTTAGGGTTTAGGGTTTGCGGCGCAGCACTTGGCGGAGGTTTACGCACACCTCGAAGAAAGCGACTACAGAGTGGGAGTCATCAACAGCCGCGCCCGCTGCCTCCCAACAGCAGCAGCACTTTCTTTGATGCAGCACAGCCACTTTGGATCTGCAAAAAATGTTCTAGTTTCAAATTTAAAAGCTCTCCAGGCCCAGGTAAACCCTAAACCCTCACCAAACCCTAAACCCTAAACCCTCGACACTCGCAGCGATAGCGGGGGATGACGG